TGTCTCAGAGGAGCGCGCTGTCTGACAGCAAACGCAAAAATCTGGCAGAAAATAAACGCACCCGGACTGTGACATCTTCGCAGTTCTCTCACATGGGGTACCACACAGTGTAAATGCCCCTCTTTTAGCTCAGCCTGTAGCAATACAAACCTGTACTTGTCTCAGCCACACTGCCTGGGTGCAGCTCTGCTCACAGTTCGATCTCCTGCTGCCACCGGGAGGGGACTGTCCTGCTCCTCTGGACAGCTGGCCAGCCTTGGTCACCACGGGGTGTTCAGCTTCCCACGCAAACCCCGCGGTCTCGTCGCTGTGCTGTTTGTTTGCTGCTATAATTTGGATTGGGACCACTCGTTCTCTGTGGTCAGATAAATGGTCCGCCCCCCCCATCAAGACAGGGAGAAAAAAGGGAGAAGTGGAGAGCGCCCTGCTGTGGGGAGCGTTTTTAAGGGAAGGAAGTATAGGAGGAAGTGGGGTGTCAGTCCTATGCTGTCAAGAAATTCCTAGTTCGTCTCAATCTGGCTGCACTATTAAACATTGTGAAACCACCTAAAAAACCATTACTGCCTTGTAGCAGTGTAGGCCTTCTCTTAAGTCTGTCTATTGCTGAGTTGTCATGGAGACATGCAAAATAAAAGGAGCTGGAAGTTCCCAAGAAAGGAATGGGGGGATCCTTTTCAGATAACGGTTGATGAGGTTTGAGAGGTTCTTTGGAAACAGGTGGTAGCTTTGTGCTGAATATGAGTTGACCTGAAGTCTTTCTTGATCTCCTTGCTTGTCAGGCCATGCCTTCAGTATAATGCCAGAGTTGGCTTATTAAGAGCCATCCATGACTGTGTGCTTTTAGACAAGTAGGTCTTTATCTTGATTTTAAGTGAAACTGTAGTCATGTATTAATGCATCACTGAATACTAAGTACTAAAGATAACAGCAGCTCATTACTAGACTTAATTCTCTTTTTAATTAATTGCAGCTATGCATGAGTCTGGAAGTTTTGCAGCATCACGTTCTAGACGTGAGAGGAAGAATAGAAGAGGCCAGCAAGAAGCACTTGAACGTCTGAAAAAAGCCAAAGCTGGTGAAAAATTAAAATATGAGGTGAAAATTCCTCGTCTTTTCTTCCTCATGAAAAGTAAATGTGAGCTGAGAGGCTTAACCATTGTTTATAGATATGTAAAAGTTACAGGAAACAAAATAAGCCTTTCAGATCAGCTTTTGTGTTTTCAGTGGTGTATGTTTTTCAGAATGTAGCTGTAGTTGTTTTGCTGCTTTCTGGTCTAATTTATTTGTTTCTTTCTGTTTTCAAAACTAAACCAGTTTTATTGACTGCAAGTCAAACGTGTTGCCACTGCTTGAGAACTATGCTGTTAGGAAGGACCAATTTTTAAAATTTAATTGCATGATTAATGTTATGATAGGAAGTACTTTTTTTAACTTCAAATTATTTTAAACTTTAAATTAATTTCAGAGCTTTAGATGGCTGAAATCCATTAATATTGGTATGCTGTATTTCCAGAAAGAGACCAAAATTTAAGTATTTAACTGGTAGAACTGAAATCTGGCAGTGTAACATTGCTACTGTCTAATTGTGATGCTGACAGGAAATGTGACTTCCACATTGAGGTGGATACATGTAAAGAAACCTGAAGTCCGTGGATCATTAACATGCAAATTTTCTCTGAGGCACAGAAAAGCATCTTCAGCATCATGCTTGGGTACATCAAATAACCTTCCTTTTCACTGAGCTCAGCTTGGTGTTTAAGAGTAGAGCCAAGGTCCTTGCTTGGATTTTTATTATTTTTAGGTTTTGTTTTGAAAATATGAAATGAGCAATAAAGGAAGTCAGTTTCAAATGAAATCTCTGCCAGTGTTTCAGTAGATTTTGAGTTTCAGTACGGTGTGATAATTTTAAAAATTGATAATTTGTCTTTTATCACTGCCAAAAAAAACCCTTAATAACTGTGCTTACTAGTTGTGAGCAGTGTAACACTGTAGGAAACCGTGCATTTCTTGGGAACCTTTATGTTCTGATGATCTGTGTTAGTAATTAATGGTATGGAAACTGTTAATCCTCAGTATTACCTTAACTATAGGTTGAGGAGTTCACAGGTGTTTATGATGAAATAGATGAGGATGAATACTCCAAGATGGTCAGAGACCGTCAGGATGATGACTGGATTGTTGATGATGGTAAGTTAAGATTCATTTAGGGAGTTATTTTGGTTATGGTGTTATAACTCAATGTACATGATTTGAAGTAAGTTATACTTAGTATATTCTTAAAAATTTTTTTAGGGGACAAGAAAAAAGCAATCTTATTGGAATTAATCTTTGCATTGTTCTCATTGTAGTGTATTAGGATGGTAATGAAAATATTTTTCAACGAAGACCTGTTCTTGAAATTTTATTTCCAGTTATCAGTATTATAATTTTACCAAAAAATACTGTAATTGATAATTTCTAATTAAACACATAACAGTATATTTACTCTAGTAGAAGATACTGCTGGGAGTGCATTTGTAACTTTTGCTCTATATTAGAGGGGCAAAAGTGTTTAAGTATGTGAAAAATTATTTAGGAGTATCAGAAGACAGAATTTAAACTGTAAGTTTTCAACTCTTTGTTTTTGTGTAGATGGGATAGGTTACGTAGAAGATGGAAGGGAAATCTTTGATGAAGATCTGGATGATGATGCTCTCAGTTCCAATAAGAAAGGTAAGTTGAACATGAACTGTGGAATGTCTTCCAGGGACTTTTAAGCAATACCTAAAATGGGCAACTTCTTGACATCAGCATGTGGTGAATGTGGCCAAATGACATGTTACTTGAAGTTCTGTCATTGTCTGGCTGTGAATTTTGTTCAGACCCCGTGATGCAGAAGATGAAGGTTCACAAATTGAGGTCAAATCATTGTTAACTACTTCAGCACTACTGGGGCAATTCTGCTTACAGTCTTCTATGGAATATCTATTCACTTCTAGAACAAATGCATCTAGGAGTGGGCTTGGTTTTCGAAGCCAATGCCTAAGAGATGTGAAGTCTCTCTTGGCCACTAAACACCTGCATGCTTTAAAGAATCTGGGATCACATGATTTTCCCAAGTTTTACGAGGCTGGTGGAAAACTGAAAAACTGATTCTGATGCTGAGAATCCAAGTCTAGTGCCAAACACACGGACATTCTTTTTTTTTTCCTGGAGATGCTTTCATGGAAAGTATCTTGGTCCTTTTCCTGGAGTATGCACTTGAGTATGCAAAGAGCATCTCTGATGTGACTAGGAAGATAGGGTGCTGATAGGGTTTTATGATTTTTTTGTGTGTGTATGACAGCTCTTAAAAAGCTGAAGATGATCAGGCTTCATTTCAGCCAGCAGTGTAAAGGTGGAAGAAGTGGACTACTTTGGCTATCTATTCCTGCTAATAACTGGACCCTTAAACATTGAGCTTTTCTGATGTAAAATTCACAATTTATTTTTTTTTTCTGTAGGAAAAGGTGGCAGAACATCTACTGTTGATAAAAAGAACATGAAAAAATCTGTGGTGTCAAAGCCAAACACAATCAAGTCTATGTTTATAGCCAGTGCTGGGAAGAAAAACACAGATGTAAGTTTTTACATTTTTGAATGTAAATGTTTCTGACTTGTTTAAAGTGTTTTAGTGGGAGTGGAATAAGCCAAGGGCTCATTTCAGTTTCTTGTGTCTAGTAAGACATAAACGTTTATTACGATCTCCTGTGTATGCAGCATTTCTGAAAAAGTTGTGTGGAAACTGTTTAGTCATTTGCTGCTGGTCTCCTGATTAGGTTTGCACGTATAACTGAGAACTGTTTGGCTAATCTTACCTTGCAGAAAACTGTGGACCTGTCGAAGGATGATTTACTAGGGGATATTCTTCAAGATCTTAATGCTGAAGTAAGTATAGTAATGAAATCTGCTGGAAACATCTTAATTGGTTCATTT